TACAGGTCTACAACACACACACACACACACACACACACACACACACACACACACACACACACAAACACACACACACACACACATTGTCAAAGCACGCAGCGCGGGTCCACGATGAGACGCGCATCGTGATTGTTTGGCACCGCGTAGATTCTGCCATTCCTTGCCAAAACACCCCCAATCCACTTCTTCCACTTGTTTCACCATGAGGTCCAGACACAGAGGACACATCCTCACATCGGTTGTGTTGGATGCTGGGTCAATGATCAACATCGCATTTGCAGAGTAAGGGATGCCAAAGATGCGGCCGTCAGCAGCGACAACGCCACGCGACCACGAACCAACCTTGTTTCTCTTTCACTTGGTTGTGGCTTTCCTCTCACCCTTGCACTGAAACTGATAGACTGATAGATGCGAGTGATTGCATTCGCGATGGTTACTATGTATTGGTTGGCAAGTTAACAAATCAAGATGGATTGTCTGTGCAAAGGAGAGCCGGAGGAGGGATCATTAAGCACACGCACATCCAAGGCAAAAGACACAACTCGGTGACGAGGGGAAGAAGGTCGGACGCTTCAACGAGATGAACTCGGGCTGTGTGAGCGTGGAACAAGTGAAGATCGACAGAATAAGGAAGCAGAGCGAGCGGTAAAAGAGGGAGGAACAGCTGGGAGAAAGAAAGAACAGCCGTGGACATGGTCCCCTGAGTCCAAACAACAAAGCCTGTCGTGCCTGCTCGCAAACACCAAGCGACGACGAAGTCCTTCCTATTCAGCACCCAGGGTCAATGACGAGGACGGACTCAGCCGAAAACGGAATGCCATAGACGAGGCCGTTGCTTGCCAGCACGCCGCCCCACCAGTTGTAGGATCCAACAAGATCGCCGATGGTCGCTGTGTCTGTTGTGTTCGTTGTGGGATCGATGATGAGAGCCGATGGGGCGCCGAGGGGGATGCCGACAATGTCGCCGTTGGGTGCGAGCACGCCGCCAGCCCACTTCGAAGAGCAGAATCGGGCACGGCGAGGGTTTCTGCAGTGTTGGTGGTCGGGTTGATGACGAGTGTGGTCGTGGAACTGTATGGGATGGTGTAGATGAGCCCATTTTGCGCAAGCACGCCCCCATGCCACTTGTAGGCACCTGTGCCAAGGCCTTGAATTGTGGTGACATCCATCGTCAGCGACTCTGGATTGATGATGAGGATCGAAGACGCGGCGACTGGGACGCAGTAGATGAGACCGTTGGGTGCCTGAACACCGCTATACCACTTGAATGCATCCGAAGACAGCCCGCCCAATGTTGTGATGTCGGCGGTGTTGGTCTCAGGATCAATGATAAGCACAGACGTGGCAAAATAAGGGACGCCGAAGATGAGTCCGTTGTCAGCCACCACACCGCTGTACCACTTGCGCGCACTGGTGCCAAGCGAGTGGATGCTTGTGGTGTCAGCCGTATTGGTGTCGGGGTTGATAATGAGCATGCTTGCGCTGTTCGACGGGAACATGTAGATGGGACCTGCATGCGCCAAAACGGCACCCGCCCACTTGTATGTGGCTGTGCCAAAGCCGGAGATGGAGGACGTGTCGACCGTGTTGGTCCTGGGGTCGATGATGAGGACGGAAGGTGAGTTGTGCGGGGCCGCATAGATCAGGCCGTTGTTGGCCAAAACGCCGCCACGCCACTTGTATGAAGAGGAGCCGAGTTGCCCAAACGTGCTGGCAGTCGCCTCACACACCCTGCCTCGAAGAGCATCGATCATGCTCTGCTGGGATTGAAGCGTGCTGTTCTGTGCGGCAATCATGCTCTGCTGTGCTTGCACCGTTGACTGGTACGCCTGCAAGATGCTCTGCTGTGCCACCACGGTTCCACGCAGCGTTTGCATCTCCAAAACAACGTCCTCGCCATTTAGGAACACGGGCTGGGTTGCTGGGTCACTCGAGTTGACGTGCACAGCGCCGCTGTCATCTTGCGCCAGCTTGGCCCTGTTTGGTGTTGGTGGTGTGGCGATAGCCTCAACACTGCACGCGCACACAACCAGGAAGAACACAGCCAACAAAACGGCAGCATCATGGAGGGGGAGCTGTGGGAGCTGTGGGAGGACAGCCGCCGCCATTCTGCTGATGTGGGTTGTTGTTTGTGAAGTCGGGAAGAGTTGCGAAAGAATTGCACGACTTTTCAAGCCAAAGACAACAGTGCGCAACGACAACCTCACGCATGTTCCGTCCGATGATCCTGAACCAAGACTTTGTGTGGTTCTGGCGTGGTGGTGGGATGAGACATCGCTTCTCACTCATTGTTTAATCACACCAGGCAAGCAAGGTAAAACAGAACACGCCACATGTAACAAACACCACACATTCTATGGGTAGACGACAAGCAACTAAACACGGGAACAAGAGGAAGAAACGCGCGTCAACGAAATGTGATGGAGATGAAGTGGATTCTCAAAGACGGAAGAAGAAATACGAAGCAAAGTGAAGGGAGGGGAGGGGATGGGATGGAAAAAAGATTGCGGTGGCACCGAAAATAAACAGCGTATGCGGGGACAGTGGAGATGGGAATGGTGTCCACACAAACAAACAAGCAGAACAGACGAGGACTGATGGAAATGAACAAACTACAGTGGCGGACAGGATGCAAAGCACGCACAGCAATGACCTACAAATTACAGCATTGACACACGCACACCCACACGCACACCCACACCCACACAGACACGGACACACACACACACACACACACACACACACACACACACACACACACACACACACACACACACACACACACACACACACGACGACACCACCACCACACACGA